CGCAAGAGACACTCATCCCCTGGAGCCGGCCCTGGGCGGGTCTTCCCAAAACACAGGGCTGCTAAAAGAGTGGGGGACACTGAAACAGCACCGGGGTTCTGAGAGGGAGGAGGCACATAGGCACCGTATAGTGCTGGCTACAGAGAAGGGAAAAAAAATATAAGACTAGAGAGAAAGCGAAAGAGAGAAGAGGGAGGCAGACAGACAAGCTCATTAAATTTGGTGTCTTAGGTTAAAATGCTGTTGTCATATCTTGCTGTTCAGCTAGGCAACTATTAGAAGAACATGCTTTACCTGTTTTTACTGCCGGTTCCAAGGCTGATTAGCTTTTCAGTAGTTACCCTTATTAACCATTTTTCAATCTCAGAATTATAAAGGAGATAGCTGCAAGAGTCTCTAGGGAGAAAATTATTCATTCTTTTCTCCTTAAAATAGACCAGAATTTATTGAGTTGTGATGAAATAAATATAATGACTATTTAGTTTCTTATTTGTCTTTGTTTATAATTTTTTCTTTGTAATTGTAAAAGCAACATCACCACATTAAAAAAAAAAAAAAATGGAAACCAGAAACAAGAAACCAAAATCACCCACAATCACACGATCTAACAACTGCTATTATTTGGCAAAAATTAACTCCATAGAATTTTATAGTGATTTATTTTTCAAAACAGGTATATCGTGTAGATGGTACAAAATCTGAAAACAAACAAAAGGGTATATTAAAAAATAAAGCAGGTTTCCTTCCCATCCATATCCAGGTAGCCTACCCATTAACAGAAAATATGTGTAAACAAAATTTCCAATCTCCTTTGCCAACTGAGCCTATGGTGTATACTGTTTTGCATCTTGATTTTTTTTTTTTTTTACTTAACAATATTATTTCGAGCTAATTCCACATATAGGACCTTTAAAATGTGTCTTTAGAATGTATTCACACATTGCCACATACTCTTTATAATCATTATCCTTAATGTCTGTAAAAGGTTTGAGTAAATGATTCACCCATTTCTTTAATAAATATCTACCAAGCACCTGCCACATCAGTAGGGCGATCGTGGGCCACACCCTTGAAAGAGTCACAGCAGAGTGTAGAAGAAAAGCAGGTAAACAAGTAATTACAGGTAGTCTCCAAGTGCCAAAATGGAAGAATGTAGGAGGTGTTGAGGGAACAAATGAGGTAGTCTTGAAAACATTGATCCAAGTGTTAGAAGAACTGAGGAGGCAGCTCATACAATGGGTAGGGAGAGTGCTGCAGGCAGAGACCAGGAATGACATGTGTAAAGGCGTGGAAACAAGAAGTAACTCTGTGGTCCAGGTGGCTACAAGGAGCTGGGTGTAGCCCCTACTCTACGGCATTTAAGTTGTGGCCAAGTCTTCCATATAAATAATGCTATGATGTACAACTTGCGGTATATAACTTTTTCCTATTTAGGAGTATTTCTTTGGCTAGATTCCCACAAGTGGGACTGCTGAGTCAAAATATAGGAGTACTCTAACCTGTGACTTACAGCCAAAATGCTTTCCAAATGGACAGTGTCATTTCATAACAACACCAGTTACATATGAGCAAACCAGTGCTCATGATCTTTATATCTTTATCTTTAATTTGTTTAATGTTTATTTCTCTGATTACCTGCAATGTTAATTTTCACCATATATTTTTTACTATTTGATTTCTTTGTATGTGGCTTGTTTATTTTCTGTTTGTATTCAATCATTGAAACTGTAAGGATGAGCCCGACTTATAAGATAGATATTCAGACTTTTAAAAATGTCTGCTGTCAATATATTTTTTTTCTGGTTTAGGTTGTGCTTTTTTTTTTTTTATCCTCACCCGAGGACATTTTTCCATTTTTTTTTCTTAATCCTCATCCGAGGACATTTTTCCATTTTTTGTACAGACAGAGTGGGAGGGAGAGAGGGGAAGAGAGAGAGAGGGAAACATCGATGTGAAAGGGACACATCGAGTGGCTGCCACCCGCACGACCAACCAGGACCGGGGACAAACTGCAACCGAGGTATATGCCCTTAGCGGGAACCGAACCCGGGTCTCTCTGGACCGCAGGCTGGTGCTCTAACCGCTGAGCCAAACCGGCCAGGGCCATTTTTCCATTTTTTGTTCAGATAGAGTGGGAGGGAGGGAGAGAGGAAGAGAGAGAGAGAGACATCAATGTGAAAGGGACACATCGAGTGGCTGCCACCCGCGCGACCAACCAGGGCTGGGGACAAACCAGGGCTGGGGACAAACTGCAACCGAGGTACATGCCCTTAGCGGGAACCGAACCCGGGTCTCTCTGGACCGCAGGCTGACGCTCTAACCACTGAGCAAAACCGGCCAGGGCTGCTTTTTTTTAATCCTCACATGAGGATATTTTTCTATTTATCCTCAGATAGAGTGGAAAGGAGAAAGAGGGAGAGAAAGGGAGAGAGAGAGAGAAACATTGACTTGAGAGGGACACATCAATAGGCTGCCTCCCACACGATCCTGACCAGGGCTGGGACAAACCGCAACTGAGGTATGTGCCCTTGGCCAGAATCAAACCTGCGACTCATTGGTCCATGGGCTGACGCTGTACAAATAAGCCAAACTGGTCAGGGCATGGTTTAGGTTGCCTTTTAAAAAATGTTTGGCACATAAAAGTTTGATTACCCAGTCATATCCACTGGTCATTTCCTTCTTTTGCTTTCTAAGTTGAGAACTATTTCTAGCCAGAGGTTTAACAAATATTCTATTTTCTTCTAGTTTGCTTTAGAAAATATATTTAACTCATTAATCCTCCTATAACTTTTGATATATAAAATGAGGATTCAACTAGTTCCCCTCCTACCCCTCTCCAAATCACCAATGTGTTATCTTAACTTTCCCTTCTCTGTTGATTTTTATTTCAAAAATAAATCCTGCTTAGGGATCAACTTAGTCATCAATTGGACCTAATTTCTAGTCCTTTTCTGAGTTGTGTCACATCTGCTTAAGACAGACCTTTCCTCTGACTTATCCGGGAATCCACAGCAACTGTTCAATTTACACAGAGGAAGAATTACCACACAGTACAGACAGGCTTAGGTAAAGCTTGTTAGTGTTTTCTTGTTAATAGGGAATCTGCTGCTGAAAGCTGGCCTTGCCTTTGAAGCCTACCAAATTGGTATGCTGTGTGTTTTGAGTGGGTGGAAGGCACTTTTGAGGGAGTTATTTCATCCAAAAGGCTGGTTATGTTATCCAAAGTTAGCCAGTCATTGTTCTATGGAGTGGAACGGGTAGGGTCTCCTGGCTCTCCCCTCGTTGTGAGTACCCTGGCTCCTACCTGTGACCTCAATGTAGGTAGCATCAAACCCTCTCAAGGCCAAGCCTATTTCAAAGCATGGTTTGTTGCAAGAAAATGCAACATCTTGCCCCTTCAAAGCTGGCCAGTTTTTGAGAAAAGCAGAGGTGGTTAAGTAGGGAAACCCTTTGCCAAAGGTTCTCAAACTAAAGCATACTTAAGTATCACCTGGGGAGCTTAGGAAACATGCAGAGTTTTGTTGTCAGTACCGAGTTACATGGGGTGGTGCTGGAACAATTTCCTGATCTTATCTCTCTAGCTTTTTTAAAAAAATCCTCATGAGGATATTTTTTCATTTATCTTCAGACAGTGTGTGTGTGTGTGTGGGGGGCATCCATGTGAGACACATTGACTGGTTGCCAACCGCAGGACCCCAACTGGGGCCTGGGACTAACTGCAACCGAAGAAGTGCCCTCGGCCGGAATCAAACCCGAGACTCCTTGGTGCACAGGCCGATGCTCTAACCGCTGAGCAAAACCGGCCAGGGCTCTTTCTAGCTTTTTGAAGTCTTAAAGAAATACCAGCTGATGTTTACACACAGTCTGAGTGGTTCTTTATTCTTCTTGCAGGACATACTGGTATCCCCCTCCCCCCCCCTTGCTAGCACCTATGAAAGTGCTCCAGGGCAGAAAGGCAACATCTTCTCAGGTTGAAATCTAAAACTACTTCCAGACACACGTTCTTATCCTAACCCAGAGGTCAACAGCTTAATGGTGCATGATCTAGAAACGCTATTCCGATTCTGGAGAGAACCAGTCCTGAAACTCCTTCTGGATTTCTTAAGAGACAGGAATCAGTCAAGTTCCTCGGGCACTATTCCGTCTCACGCGACACATGTTGTCTGGGTTTGTGTTGTTTTAATATATCATTGGGCAAGGGTCGTATCCCGGATTAGGACAATTCTGGACCGTATCTCCTTCCGTGTCTCCACTTCTAGGATAAAGCTCATTTCTCTGGCAGATTGCGGGAGGGGGTGGTGGGGTGGGGGTGGGGGTTGAGTTGGAGCCACCCTGGAATTCAGTAGACTTTCTTTTGCAACCCTCCGGATTCATTCTCCCCATTTTCCTACTCTTTTCTCCCCCTTCCCAAGAGCCTACCTTACCCCTTTGCCCCCAGAAAGTGTACGACCCCCTTTCTCTCAAGCTCAGTAGCCAGGTGTCTTCTCTCGCACGGTAACCCGGTGACAGGGGAGGAGGCATGAATGTGGTGACGCCCCTCACCCCCCAAGGGTGCTCCTCCCGGGGGTCTCTGGGGAGCCCTACTCACCCAGCTCCCTCGTGACCCTCCCTCTCCTGTGCTTCCAGAAGCTGTCTGCTGGTGCGGGCGGCTGAGAGGGACCGTTTCTCATCAATCGAGGTCACTCCGCCAGGCTGCTCCCAATCGGTGTGCTCCCAGGCGCCCTCCCTCCTTTCTTTAGCCTGCCGCGTCCCCACCTACGGCTGCAGCACTCGGGGGTCTTCGGGGCTCAGGCCGCCAGGGAAGGGGCGGGGAAAGGGAGCAGGCGGAGCGGAGAGCTGTGGAAGGAGGAGGCGGTGCGGCTACGTGGTACCGAGACTGCCCGGGAGCGCCCGAGCCCGCGTGCGCGCGTGCGCCTCGTGGAGGCTCCGGCAGCAGGCGGGCGGAGCTGCGGGCGGAGCGGGTGGAGCGAGCCGCGGGCGGAGCGAGGGGTGGGAGGACGCGAGCTGGCGGGCTGGCGAGTAGCTCCCCACCAGCATCTGCCGCGGCCGCGTTTGCTTGAAGCCCGTAGAACGACCGACAACGGATAGATCGCCTGGCGGACGGACCCGGGCGCTCGTCTGGTGCTGGGGGTCAGCTTCGGAGAGGCTCCAGGCTTGAAGCGCGCAGCTTCCCTGCCTGCTCGCTGCCACCCCGGCTCCGGCGGCCTCGGCGTACCAGGGGCTGGAGGTGCGGGAGCAGCTCTCCGCCGGTCGGTCCCTGCGCAGATCAGCTCGAGCTGTCACGCCGCGGCCCCGAACGGCGGCCCGGAGCCCCCGCTTCCCGCCGGGCTGCTCTGAGCACCAGTGCTCCGGGGCTCCAAACTCGGGCTACCGGGGCAAGTGTCTTCATGAACCCAGAGGATGTCCGGGAAGCACTACAAGGGTCCTGAAGTCAGTTGTTGCATCAAATATTTCATATTTGGCTTCAATGTCATATTTTGGGTAAGTTGGAGAGCTTTGGGATTTCAACTATTTGTGGCTGATTGATTCGCGACGATTTTCCCCACGTTGCCCGCTGTCTTTACTTTTCGCAGCCCCTGGGGCGCGTGCCGGAGCAAGGAGAGGCATTTGCCTTCCGCCTCTCCAGCTTGTGCGCTGCAGAAGCATTTCATCCTTTCTAGGAATGGGAAGAGGTAAAAAGAAAAACCGAGCTGGAGAGGAAGCACCCAGGCCTTGGGGTGGCTTTTTAAGGGACGACTAGAGGATGCAGATGAAAGAAAGGGCTCGGCAGTTTGAGAGATGAGCAGCCACACGAATATTAGATTTGCTTCGGTGGGATGTGGATGTTGGGCAGAGCGTGGTGTCATAATAGGGAAGGCTAATCTGGCAGAGCCGACCCTGAGGTCCATCTTCTAACAAGGCTCTGATTGGACGAGGGCTTGGCTCTGTGTTGCCGCGGCTGGTCTGTGCCATGCTCAGCGTGTATCTTCTTGCACCATCTCGGGCTTTGTGTAGGATGCAGATGCGGCGGTATATGGTTCTGTAATGTGCACGTAAATAACGTTTCCTGCAAGCTCTTTTCCTTGGCTGGAAAGTGCTCCTTTTGCATAATGGACTGACCCGTGGGCGCAGGAGGTAGATGGAGATATATAAATATATATATGTATTACTGTCAGGATAATAAAACACCGTCAACATTTGTTTCCATGTGTTCGTGGCATTCGTCCTTCTTTTTAAAAGGAGTGACGGGGCGGGCCGTTTTGGGGAAATGCGAAGGAGAGGGGTGCGAGACAGGTTTTATTGGGGGTACGAAGAGAGCAAATGCTTGAACGCAAGATTGAAAGCGTGCTCTGCCAGCACTGTAACGTGCTGGGCACCTATTCTAATCAGGCTGGGACGCCTACTCTTTTGTTTTGTTTGGATTCTTGTACTTGATCTCACAAACGTGTTCAGCAAACAGACAAAGAGTTCACTAGGACCAGGGGAAAATGGTTCAAAGACCGTGTTATTTTGCCTCCCCATCCCATCCTATTCCTTACTGCCCCCCCCCCCCCTTATGGAAAGTAAAGATGGTGGTTGTCTGGGGGTGTTCTCCAAGTTGATATCCGTTGTAGGTTCAGTGTGAGATAAACAGTAAATGCAAAGGTGGAATCAATAATAATCTGCAGCAGTCTGAACACAAGGTGTATTTATTTTTATTTCCTTTAATTTTGGCCATTTGCTGTAAACATATACATCTATGAGAATAATTGTCAATCCAGCTCTTTGTGGGGTTTTTTCCCCCCTACCACACAATTACCAGGCTATTTATTTTTATTTTCTATTTTCTATAGGAGTATCTTGCATTGGTTGTACATGTGTTTTGCAAAAGGAAATTGAAGGGATTGCAGACCACGTTCTGTGTCAGCGTATCATGTATACTCAGGACTGATAAAGATAATGAGAGGTACACATGAATAAATATCATATGCAGTCATTCACAAGCAATTTTTATTTTTATTTTTGCCAGCAATTATACATGCTTTCTGTTAGCAGTCATCCACCTCCCTACACTTTGAGAGTCAGGGACTACGAAACTGGGACTGGACCTTGTTGGGCTAGTGAGCACAGGCCTCTTGATTAGACTTAAACATTTCCAAAAGTTGCACATTTTAGCTGCCAGGCAACAAAAAGCACCCAGGGACTTGCTCTGCCGTTTTATAGCAGGAGGTAGAAAAGAAAAGAAATAAAGGGATTTGGGCCTGTTTCCCTGACAGCTTGGTATGATTTTGTACAGTGTACAGAGGCAAATTTAGTATTTTCTGTGATATTGTGGAGATCTACAAAGAGTTGCAGAGTGCTTGCATAGACAGTTCCAGGATAGAGCCATATCTTATCTGATTTTGAAGGTCTTTATCTCTGGGGGGAGTTTAATGGGAAGCCTGAAAAAAAAAGTAGGCTTTGGAACTAGCAGAGCTGCGCAATGAAGAATTGTTTCATAGATGCCTTTGCCATAAGGGCCCTTCTCTCACTCTGCTTTCTATTCACCCCTTTCCTCCTTTCTCTGCCTGACGCTTTCCACTCAGACCCCCCACCCCATATCTTTCCCATCCTGCTTTCTGCTTCAAAATTATCCCATAGGTAAGTCTCCCAGTTTGTCAGTACCTTGGCCTCTAGTGGTGAGTAGCAGGAAGGCAGCCATGATATTTGATGAAAGTAATTCAGACTATGATGTTAGTGACTGAAGAACTGGAGTTGGTAACTTTGGCACCCACTTTCTGTAAAGTTGCATACCTGTGTTCTCTACTGAGTCATCATCCTTTCTGTGACTGCCAGAAAGAGTAGACTCAGTGGGACTCTTTTTTTTTTCTTTATTGATTTTAGAGAGAGAGGAAGGGAGAAGGAGATAGAAACATCAGTGAGAGAGAACATCCATTGGCTGCCTCCTGCACGGCCCGCACTGAGGATTTAACCCACAACCTGGGCATGTGCCCTGACTGGGAATTGAACTGGTGACCTTTTTTTTTTTTTTTTCTCCCAGGGGAGAGCGCAAATGCAGTCTCCTACTACCACAAAGTATGCAGTTGAGTTTCCCACATTTGGGGAAATCGCAGGGGTCAGCACATCCAGAGAGCAATGGATAAGCCTTGCCCTGGGAAAACTACCTTCATGATCATGGTATCTCTTCTGAACTGGCGACCTCTTGGTGCATGGGTAGACGCTCAACCACCGAGCCACCCAGCCAGGCTTGGTGGGACTCACATACAGTTATGAAAAAGAGATTGATAACAGAGAGCATCTTTCATGTTCATGCTGTGAAATGCTAAACTAATTTTGAAATACATTGAAGATATTTGGATAAAATAAAAATTGAAAATATAGTAGCACCAGCACTGAATTTGGTTCTCTTACTAATGAGTAGTTTCACTCCTTGCTACTCAGTTAATTGCCCCGAGCCTCATTTTCTTGGCAGTTAAAATGAAGGAATTAGATGAGTTGTAAAGTTCTTTCTAGTTCTGAAAAAGAATGAGTCTATTGAGTTCCAATATGCTGGGAAGAATACTAGAGATGGGCATATATTGGGATGTCTGTTAAATTATAGACCTTTTATTTTACTGCAACTTGTCTGAAGATCAATTTTATTATTTCATTTCTTCAAATATTCCTTGATTAAAAAAACTCTTATCCCGGCCAGTGTGGCTCAGTGGTTGAGCGTTGACCCATGCACCAAGAGGTCACCAGTTCAGTTCCCAGTCAGGGTACATGCCCAGGTTGTAGGCCAAATCCCCAGTAGGGGGCATGCAGGAGGCGGCCAATGGATGTTCCCTCTCATTGATGTTTCTATCTCTCTCTCCTTCTCCCTTCCCCTGTCTCTCAAATTAATAAAGAAAAATAATTTTTATTAATCTTAAAATTTTTTTCTTGTCTTATTCACTTATTAGTATAGTATACATTTCCCCCTGTTCCCACTGTGAATCTCAAATTTTGAGATATAGAAATCTCAAAATTTATATATATAAATTTTAATTAAAAATTTTTTTTGTTAATCCTCACCTGAGGACATTTTTTTCCCCATTAATTTTTAGATTGAGTGGAAGGCAGGGAGGGGGACAGAGAAACATCGATGTGAAAGATACACATCTATTGGTTGCCTCTCAAATGACCCAACCAGGGCTGGGGATTGAACCTGCAACCCAGGTAATATGCCTTTGACTGGGAATTGAATCCTTAACCTTTCTGTGCCAGGGCCAATGCTCTAACCACTGAGCCAAACTTGCCAAGGCTAATAAATATATTTTATTATTAAAGTTAGAGTTTCATGTGTAAAATCACATAACAGTGTAATGATATTCTGAGTAACAAAGTCAACATCTGTACAGATTCCTTTCTCATTAGTTATCACAGGGTGGTGGGGAGAATCTTATTTTCCCTACTTTATATTGCAAGAACTCAAGCCTGAAGGGAATTGATTTCATTGAGGGTGTCGCCATACTAGAACATTACTCAGAAAACCCTGAGGCTGCTTACGTGTGGGGGAGGGAAGAAAAAGGGAGTTTTGTTTTACAGTTGCTTTTTTTGGGTACTGAACCCCCACATCCCATCACCTACCATTAATAGATGTTTTGCTCCGGACTCTTTTGGATTCTGGCTGTAATTCTGAACTGTTCCTAGGCAAGTAAATTATCTTAGTATTCTCACTATCTATTGCTACATAACACAAAACCCCTAAACTTCCTGGTTTAGAACAGAACTTTATCGATCCCTCACAGTTCTGTGATTTGACCAGGCTTATCTCAGCAGTTGGCACTTGTGATGATCTCTCTTGCAGCTGTAGTGAGATGTAGCCAGGGCCACATCTTCAGGAGTTCTCTGAAGACCCAGTTGGGGTGGGGGCCTTGCTGGGAGCTCAGCCAGGGTTGTTGCCTGGAGTACCCACACATGGCTTCTTGTTTCTGAGTGGAAGCAGCAGTTTCCAGCCAGTTAACGCTATGCCGGAACCGGCCCTCTGTCAGTTTCTCTGTTTCGCTGGTTAAACCATGCATGGAGCCTACTTAATTTCAAGAAGGTGAAGAAAGGAATTCCACCTTCTGATGAAGGTGTTTAGGTTGTGTGGGTTGTGGCCATATTCGGAAAATGCAGTCTGTGTGCTGAGCCTTAACTTCTTGTTTATAAAGGAATGATATCATTATCCAAAGGAGCTAGCTGTAGATTGAAGGGTTCAGTGAGAATATGTATTACCAAGCTCGTTGTCTCCATATTTAAGAAATGGTGAATATCATTATTGTTATTATTCCCAGATTTCATACTGGTCCCATCCTGGACTTTACAATTTCTAGAATACCTTAGCCTGGTGGTACATAGGCATCATTACTACCAGGTCATGATGACAACCCTTTGAGTCTAAACAAGATGAGGCGAATGGATTCTGTACATTTAATCGTCACTTGTTAGATAAAGTCTCATGGATCAGGCTGTACAAGGATTGGAACAGCCTTGGATACGTGAGGCCAAACTCTCTTTGA